CGGCATTTTATCCCCAGTTTATGTAACGTGCGCTTGCTGTGCCTTCAGTGTGAGATTGTGTTTGTGCAAGTGCACATACATTAAGGTCTCCTGCATGATGTGCTTGTCCTAGAATAGTCGCAGGAGGTCGGTTGCATGAGGAATGGTATAATGTATGTGGGTTTGAGTGTGAAGGCAAGTTTGTGTCTGCGCTGTTCTAAATGTGTTCCCATTCCTGAAATGACTCACCATCCTCTGCTCTCTGAGCCCGTTCCTCTTTTCTCTTGCTGGGCTCGGCTCTCTCAGAAAGCATGCTGTACGAATAACTGCCTCTGCCTTTAGCGGCCCAACGGGCCCTTTATCTGAGCTAGAACGTTCTAGAAGACGGAGCAGGGAAGGGTCAAATTGAGGCGAGGCCCCCGGAGCCAGCCAGGGTCAGACATGGCAGAGTCCCGGCCTGAACCGCACATGTGACCTCGTTCTGCGGAGGATGCTGTCCATGTGAGGGAGCAACGAGAGTTGGGATGTGGAGCGGCTTTCTAAAGCTGGTTCTTCCAGTTGTTGTTCATTCCAGGAAGGCCTTTCAAACAGCTCTGTCCCTTTTGCTTTGGGCGAGGCCTCTCACTCAAGTAGCCCAAGGTCCAGGTGTTTACCTGTGTAACCAGAGGGCGCGCCATATTTAATGTATGAGGCCTAAGAATGCACAGGGCGGTTGAGTCAGTTTTCACAAGTGCGTGTTAGTCTGCGCCGCAATACTTGGCTGTTGTTTGTAAGGGGGCGTAGGTGTCCTTGAGCGCTTGAGTGGCACTGAGTGTAATTTTCAACATCTCCTGGTACAGTCACCTGTATTTAAGCTATAGGCATGTTCCAGCATGGTTTACATGCATATTCTCAAACACTGGCTTACAATCAGCAATTCCAACCTCCATTCAAAGCTGTACTCTGCTTTCAACACCGCTGCAACTGCAGATACGGCAAGTAAAGCGAGCCCAGGGTCTCCACAGATGACGTAGGGAGAAGATAAAGCTTCTGTGTCATGAAAGGGCTTAGTTCAGAACCTTCATGCTTTATGGCTTTACTGCCATGTGATAATAGCCTGCAGTGTGCAAAGTCCAGCTGCAGGCCCGTGAGCATAACGGCTGGGCTCTCGAAAATGAAACGCTCTAGATTAGGCGTTATATCACTCTTGACCCATGCTGATAGTGGTTAATTTAAGCACTAGAGGAGAGGTGTCTGGGAGAACTTTGTGGGGGGTGGGGTGGAGGCTGGACCTCATTAGAATGACACAAGCATATATATACGCAGATAATAAAAGGTTAATATGGTCATAGACAAGACAACAAAGGCAAAACGCACAGTGTGTCATGAAATAAGAAAGGAGATTTTGCAAGGAAGGCAAGGAAAAGAAGGCGCTGCCAGGAAGATAAAGGAACAGGTAGGTTCCCATTTAGTGCAGACAGGCAGAGAAAAGGAGGGGAAGGTGTGGGACAGAGAGTGAATTTGAGAATGCGCGCATGAGAGAGAAGGAAGGCGTGTGCGCACGTACGTGCAGTGCACTGCCCTTGACCCCCCACTCCCTGTGTGGGACTCCCTCTGCAGTGCAGGACTGCAAAGCACTCTGATGATCTCATCTTGCAGGGACCACCACACACTCACACACACGCACACTCACTCACTGCGTCCATGCTGCATAGGCAGACTAGAGCTGCAGAGGTGCAGGTGTCTGCCCAGACTAAAACACTTTGCCTCTTGTGATTGACTGCACCCTACTATAAACATTACAGCACAGTGCCACCCGATGGTGAAATGTCGGACGTGCATCTTCAGCATGCTGCTGGTTCAAGTTCGAGCATCTTCTACACAAGATTTAGTTGAGCTGGAGTACAGTGTACCGTGCCCCTAAAATGTACTTAGGCAGATATTAATGCATAAAATGTATTAAAGGGCCCCTGTCATACATTTTATGTGCTATTTTATTATGGAGATCCACTTATGAGTTTTTTATGGTTTATAGTCATAATTCATTTTTAACAGGGCCATTTTCCAACCTCTCTTTTTTCCCTTAGAATTAAACAGGCTATTTTGTTACTGTGCCTTTAAGGCTGATATATAGGTACATGGTCTCTGTTCTGATTGGCTGCCCTGTATTGTGCCTCATTCAAAAAACGATCGTATAACTATATGTTTCATTGTGAATGGGTAGGGCTGAATTGCTGTATGCTGATTAAGCAGATATAGGTAAATGCATAGGTTTTTGTGACATCACAAAGTTAGTTAAATTAAAACAGACCATTTTTGTAATGTGGTATTCATATATGAACTGCATAGACAGCATTTACAGTTAAAACATCGTTCTGTTCTTTTATTTCAAAAACAGAATTTTTTTTTTTTCTATTGTGTTAGGAAATAAAATGTCAAACCAAGTGGTATATATTTTAAAAAGACTATTCCAAGACTGTCATTTTCTTTTTTAGGCAAAGTATGCTTTCAAAAGTTGGTTGATTGTTATGATTCTAGCAGTTTCTTTGCATCTTTTAAGCAATTTCTTTGCAACTTTCTGCAGTTTTGTACACAAAATGCACTTCTGAGTTCCTGGTCCTATCAATGAACAAAAAAATCATCAACACCATTGTGAAAAAAACAGAATGAGACTTTGAACTTTCCTCCTCTGTGTTTTACAGTAGCCTTAGAATTAGTCTGGTTGGAATTCTTCTCCAGGCTTTCTCCACACAAAGAGTCTACCAGCAATTCGGTGTTGTGCGAAGTGGTTTTTCTCTGAAACAAATATCATTTTGTTAAACATTTTTTTTAAACATTTTGGGGCTAGGGCGGCATGGTGGCGCAGTGGGTAGCGCTGTTGCCTCACAGCAAGAATGGCCTGGGTTCGATTCCCGGCCAGGCGACCAGGGTCATTTCTGTGCGGAGTTTGCCTGTTCTCCCTGTGTCTTGCTAAATTGCCCCTAGGTGTGAATGAGTGTGTGACTGTGTATGTCTGTCTGTCTGCCCTGCGATGGACTGGCGACCTGTCCAGGGTGTATCCTGCCTTCCGCCCAGTGATAGCTGGGATAGGCTCCAGCACCCCACCGCGACCCAGAAGGATAAGCGGTTTAGATGATGTATGTATGTATGTATGTATTTGGGGCCATTGTACATACACTCACTATGCGCTTTATTAGGAACACTATACTAATGCTGGGTAGGGCCTCCCTTAACTCTCAAAAAAAACAGCCTCAATTATTCTTGGCATGGATTCTACAAGATGCTGGAAACATTCCTTTGAGATTTTAGTCCATGCTGACATGATTGCAGCGCCTGATTTTTCAGGTGCACTTTCATGCTGCAAATCCTCTTTTCTACCACATCCCAAAGGTGTTCTATTGGATTCAGATCTGGTGACTGGGAAAGCCACTGAAGAACACTGAACTCATTGTTATGTTCATGAAACCGGTTTGAGGTGACTTTTGCTTTGTAATGTGGTGCATTTTCATGGTGGAAGTAGCCATTAGAAGATGGTAAATTGTGGCTATGAAGGGATGCACGTGATCAGCAACAGTACTCAAACAGGCTGTAGCATTCAAGCAATGATTGACTGGTATTAACAGGCCCAAAGTGTGTCAAGAAAACATTCCCCACACCATTACACCACCTCCATCAGCCTGGACTGTTGACGCAAGAAGGGTTGGGTCTATGGATTCATGCTGTTGGTGGCAAATTCTGACCCTGCCATCTGTGTGCCTCAGCAGAAATGTAGATTCATCAGACCAGGCTACGTTTTTTTCAGTCTTCGCAATATGGTCTTATGCTGTTGTAGCCCATCCACCTCAAAGGTTCAAGGTGCTTTCTGAGGTATTTTTCTGCTCGCCACAGTTGTACAGAGCAGTTATTAGAGTTAACATAACCCTTTCTGTCAGCTCGAACCAGTCTGGACATCCTCTGTTGACCGCTCTCATCAGGTAAGTGTTTAAGGTGTTTCTGTCTACAGAACTGTGGCTCACTGGATGTTTTTTCTTTATTGCGCCATTCTGAGTAAACTCTATAGCCTGCTGTGCATGAAAATCCCAGGAGATCAGCAGTTTTAGAAATACTCACACCAGCCCATCTGGCACTAACAATCATGCCATAGTCAAAATCACTAAAATCACATTTTTCACCATTCTGATGGTTGATGTGAACATTAACTGAAGCTGCTGGCCTGTATTTGCATGGTTTATGCACTGCACTGCTGCCACACGATTAGCAGAATAGAATCATGAATATTTTTCCTTGGTTGGAAAATATATAATAAGAATGCAAGCCTGCACTTGACTGTAACCTAAAATCCTTCAACACTAATTCTGTTAGTGATATCTTGGCAAGTGAAACCATCAGAAATCTAGTTGATATATCTAATATTTATCATTTTAAGATCATTGTAAAAATGTTTTGAAAAATATTTGACTTATTTCTAGACATTTTTGCTTGCTTTCGTTTTCATTTAAGTCAAATGTTTTTGTCAAAGTCATTTTTTCATTTTTGTACATATCTCACTATATTGGCAGATGAATGAATTTAATGAATCACTTATGATTATTTCAATGATCTTATTTGTTTCAATATCTGCCAGTATAGTAAGATCATTTCACTTAATAAAATTATTTAAAAGAATTAAAACATCTAGAAATAAGTCAAATATTCACAATATTCTTACAACAGTCGCAAAATGAGAAATATTAGATGGATCAACTCAGTTTAAGATGGTTTTTACTTGCAAGATAGATACCATTATGATTTTAAGGGTATTTTTCTCTCACTGAAGTGCCGTCTCTTTCCTTCTAGGGCTGTCTTAAAGCATTAAATACATATTACAGAATGCGAAAAGAACATAATTTTACTGTCTGTATAGAAAGGTGAAAAAACATTATGATAGCAAGAGTTCAATACTTTATTGGACAGCAACAGTGAGTGTCAGAATATCGTGATACCTTGAAAGTGATACAATGGGCAACCTGTGTTTTATTCATCCAGTGCTTCATGTGGTGGAATGCGGGCCATAAATATGCTGTACATTTGATAAATTTTACTTATTTACTTTTTTAGCTTTGCACATAGTTACAATTACAGTGATAGGTGTGAGCTCCAGGAGGCAGACGGCTGAGCGGATGCTGAATGTGTCGCTTGTATCGGGGTGTGATGTTGTCAAGGATACGCGGGCTGCAGTGGCTCTTGTAATGCAGGGCAGGGTCATCGTAGTTTAAGTGAGAGCTGAACTGCCCTTGAACGTACACCGGCACCAAGTGAGGAATGCTGGAAGAAAAGAGAAGCACAGAAAGAGAGAGAGAGAAAGCATAAGGCATAGTCAAATTTCCACGATTTGCCCCTTATTTTAAATGTAGTCAATCAGCAAAGACATGTTTGGTCTCTGAAGTTTGCATCTATCTATAGTTTTGTACTTGAATTACAATGAGGCTAAAATGTAATGAAAGCTTATGCACATGAATTAGCATTGCGTAAGCCGCAGGCTTAAATTACACACTGGTCTCAAAGTGTGTTGAGTTGTTAAGTAACCTCAATTAGACGTGTCTATGTGGTTTCTGACATGGCATTACATACGGCGATATAGGAAACTGACAAAAGTATAAACAAAATTGGGGCAATGACTTATAATTGCTTACTAATAGCTGTGTGTATGCTACTGTTTGAAAGTATGGCTTTCAAATAATTAGGAAGCTGGAAAAAAAGAACAATAATTTTAGTTTTGTGTTTAGTGAGATGAACAGAGCTGTAAATGACGCTAAAATGAGAATTTAAGAAATAATGTTATAGCAATGTTATAACAAATATGCATCTAAAATGCAATTTGGTATCTAGTTTATAAGATTTATATTTACATTGTAAGCAAGTAAAATAACACAAATTAACATTACAAATGATTCCAAACTGGAATTATAGTGTAGATTTTCATTACTAAAGACAGTGATACAGTGTCAGAACTGCATAAACCATAAGACAGGCTACATTTGATTCAAAGGGAAAATTGTCCAATTTTTTCTTGCCGTCTATTTCTTCAAGCACCTTGCTGTAATTTATAAGCCATTTCATATACATGCATATCGCGGTTTCGGAAGAATACCTCTCCAAAACTTAACAGGAGAAGGAAAAAAGCTACTTTACTTTTAATGTAATTCAATAGAACCAGACATTTTCCCAAGTCATTTTGGGCTCTTACTGTTGGTCCATTCCTCATGAAATTTACACAGAATATAAAGAGCAACAGGCATTTTCAAATTATGGCAAACACCAAAAAATGGTATAGTGATATATACTTACATTTCTTACAGTAGTGAAATTTGTGTTTACATGAAGCCCTTGCCTACGCCCCCAGTCAGCTTTGGCTACTCTAACCATAATCTGTACCTTCTGAACAGAGAGGACAGGCAGGTAAGACTGTGAGCACACTTACATTTCTTATAGGAATTCCCTGTTATCTACACACACCAGGTTAGAGGGCGGATGATACCACTGTATTATTTTTACTTTATTTAGATTAGACAGTGGAAGTAGCTTTTGTTTATTTAGTTTACTAGAGCTTGAAAAAATTAGTTTATCTTAATATTTGTTCTTGTTTTATTATTTATTTTTTGTGGGCACTGATCAAGTCCTCCTCCCACAGGTACATGTACTTTGTTTTTAGTAATAAAGTTGTGCAAATATTGGCTGTATCAAGTTAAAATAAGCAACATGACTTTTGTATTTGTACTTATCTCCTTCGCTCCTTTTCCAGCTTTTTTAATGATCACCTGTGCCAACTCATATGTTACCAACTCATACGTTACCTCCCTGCATCCCTCGGCTGGGCTGACGAGTTTGCTTTCTGAATTGAGGGCATTTAACACTACACGCCTATTAGCTTCTGATTGATGTGTGGTCGGTAGTGTCATTTATTTCCCAGTCCATACAGTCCATACATGAAAACTAAGCTGCAAAAACAGCCCATTTTGAATTCAGCATTTTTGTGGTGTCACAGAAATGGACGTGTACATATATCCTGCATTCAGCCTACAGCAATGTAGCTCCTCCCCTTTGAATTGAAGTTTTGAATGATGCACAATCAGGGCAGCCAATCAGAGGTCACTTAAAGGCACAGTAACCTAGACGGCTTTTTAAAAGGTAAAGACAGCAATGAGAGGCACAGACCAACTGCCTATCTGGATTCAAGAGCCCTACAAACTAAAGAACTAGTGTATAACCTTGGTGTACCAGTGGACTCTGATCTCAGTTTTAGAAGTCGTGTCAAAGCAGCTACTGAATGGTCATGTAAAATTATTTACAACTACATGTCGTAAGAGGGCCTCAGGAAGAACGTCTTTTTCTCCTCTAGCAAGCAGACATGACAGTCGCATGTTAAAAGCTTCCACACACTGCCTTAACTGCAGCTGTCACAGCGGCAGGTGGGCTCACCTTACCGTTTTTATTCATTTTATTTTCATTTCATATCTGTTAATGTGAAAACAGTTTGCATGATTTTTTTAAAAGTATGCTCAGTGCTGTGCGGGTGAAATATTTTTATGTTCAGGAGTATACCGCGAGTGTATGATGAGTTGATTATGAAATGCTTTAATGCGTGGGTGATCCACTCACTCTCCAGTGACGGTTTTCCTGCGGGAGCAGCAGAAGCAGGCCAATGCGGCCAGAAGGAGCAGCAGCAGGAGGGGGATGCCGATGCCCAGTACCAGGCCCAGAATCAGGGGCTTCTTATCCTCCAGGGTCTTGGCAGCAGGCAAGCTTGTGTGGTTAAGGCTGCCCCTGTCTGAGGGAGACAAAGACCAATATGCTCTAGACTTTTATGCTATTTTATTTTATTCCATTTTATTTTCCTTTTATGCCATTTTTCATAAATGCTATAAAGCTATTTTTGATTGTTATATACTGCCCTTTGATCACAAAATAAAATACAGTGGGAGACAATAGAAGCTAGGCCTTCAGTTTGTTCCATAAATGTCAAATATTTCTATATATATATATATATATATATATATATATATATATATATATATATATGATATAAATGCTTCTTTGGTAATGCTAATTTCTGCTAGCTCGCCTATGGGATTGTGTGTAAGTGCAAAGATAACAGCAGTTCACATTTTACAGGTTTATAAAAGACATTCCATGCTAGTCACAGACAAATTCACATATGTTTACCTTGTAGCAGAAATAAAAAACACGACAATGCTTGTAGAGTTTAAATAAACATGATGATTCTATTAAATAAAGATGAACTAAAAATGCAAATACATATATTTTTACATATGTGTACCTTCCTCCGACACCCTTACCTAAAATGCAAGACTGTGCCTCCTTCAGGTCTGTGCCATTACATACACATCTGTAACCTCCATAGGTGTTGGAACAAACAGCTGGCTTAGTACACAAAGTCTCGTTGCCTTTGCACTCATCTAGGTCTGAGAGCACCGCAGAACGACATGGAAACAAAGAGTATATTAAAACGTTTATTGAGTGATAGACTTCTTTTCTTTCTTTTATAGTTCATGTCATACAAGATCAAGTTGATTCTATTGAATATAGTATGCCTTATGTTTAATTGTACAAAAACATCGAAAAAATGAGAATGCATTTAGGAAGAGCCCAAGTTTCCCATTTTCCCTAAATGTGATTGATCAGCCAAGACATGTGTGGTGTCTGGAAGGCTAATGTAGCTAACAAGTAATGGAAGTTTATACTGCACTCATTGGCGCTGTGCAAACTGCATGGCTAAATCAGCACACACTTACTTCAAACTGTGTAAAATTATTAAATCATCTCAAACAGACTTGCTTGTGTGGTTTTTGACACTGCATGACATATAGCACGAAAGTATGCATAAAATCAAGGCTTGAAGATGACAGCTAATATATATATATATAACTGTGCAAGACCTGGTAGCCCACCAAAACTGTCCCCATCAGATAAACAGCACTTAAAGTTTTCATCTTTGAGAGAGCGCCACTATTGGTTCAGAAAAAGTTACATTCAAACCAGACCACTGATAAAATTGTGTTTTGAAGTCTCCTTAAGAGAATGGAAGCTGTAATAAAGGCAAAGATTGGACACATGAAATATTAAAAAAGATGACCGTATATATAGTTGTTGCGGCTTTTGTGAAATTTTCTGTTAAATGTATATTTTCCTGATCCTGAAAAATAAATAACTTATATTTAATGGCTAATTTGACTGGAAATTAATTAAATGAAAGGGTGGTCTCTGACTTTTGCACAGTACTATACACGTGAACTAAGTGGAAGATTACATTTTTTGACACTCTATTGCTTTGAGGGATGTCTAAGGGATGTTTAAAGGTAAATAGCATCGGGATATAAACTACAAAGCCATCTTAAGTTTTCTCATCTAAATTCTGTTACCTTCCACGTATGCTGTTGTGACGCCATAGTAGCGTCCGACCCGGCTCATGTAGTCCATGACATACCAGTGAGGAGTGTCGCTGGACACGTTGACTCTGTACTCACTCAGCCCACTATTTGGTCGTAAGTCAGGGGGCATAACACTGACGTTGTAGAACTTATTCTGGAAACCCATAGAAAGGATCTGCTCCAACTGTGGAAGACAAGCAGTTCTGCAGTCAGTTTTATGATGCCAGGAACTGCAGCTGGTCTAACGAGATTTGATGCTTTTCTAAAACATTTGGCATCTCCTGCACACATCACCATCAATCAGGGTGGATACAAGCTATGAAGATGTTAAACTACCCACTACATCATTTCTATCCTAAAGAGAGCTACACAAGCTGAGACACAGGAACAACTGACATTCAAACCAGAGCCCTCGCTGCATTCACTTCTGCTCTCACCTGTTTTAGTCGCTGCTGTCCAGTCTTTTGATCATTCCAGGCCATGGATACATTGAAAATGTTCCAACCTGAAAAGTAGTCACTTAAAATGAGGATGTCCACCAATTGTTGCATAATTTATATATATATATATATATATATATATATATATATATTGTACTTGTTAAGATGTAAACAAAGTCATTCAGAGTGGTTTGAAATGAAATGCTGCGTTCTAGTGAAACTTGCTGAGTTAGACCTGTTCACAGTCGTGGTAATAGGAACCAGATGTCTGAGGAGTTTAATGTCTCTAAAAGCTACATCACAGGCAATTTTTACACAAAATAGTTATGAATATGCTGCCTGATTTCTGTTTTGAGTTTTGGGAGAAGGCTTTGGTCTTAAACTTTTTTTTTGTAATCATTTATGGCAGAGGGGTTAAAAATGCAGGCTGTTATAATTCGAAATAGTACACAAAGAACACTTTTTTTCAGATTTAGCAGTATTTTCCAGTATCAACATTATGTACAAAACTTCAAAAGACACATGTCTGTTCAGGGGTGCTTTTGTGTAGTTAATAAAGTGACTATTTTTGTGATAAACACATCACAACTTGTGGTTCCAGCCACTGCTATTGTAAAGAAATCCAGGTCAGTAAGTTTCTCAACAATGAACCATTTAACATCGAACCACTCTGAGACACAAAGAGTAAACTCAGTGTTTAAATAATGCATAAAATTTGAAAAATCGATGAAATTCCCATTTAATACAGTATAAAACATATACATACAGTAGGTGTTCATGCATTCTTTGAGTAGTTCTCACCTGTAGGATTAGCAGAATCACCTAAAAAGGTAAAAACAAAGAATTTAAATGTCAACAAAACAAATACAATGAAAACATTGCTTTTCAGAGCCAAAAAGCACGTTTTGAAGCTGAATCCTTATTTATCAATAAAAGAAGAGTAATGAAAATATGAATCCAAACAAAATACGTTTCTTACCGCAGCCGTCAGACTCCCCGTTGCTCTGGTAGCGGCAGGAGCAGTATGACGAACCAGGTGTGTTCACACACTCGTACTTGGCGTTAGGGCAGGCTGCAGGATTCTGACACTCATCTATATCTGTGCATGGCAGAGTGGTGTGGGTTTGTGGGTTTGTGCCTACAAGTGTGTCATGTCAATGTCTGGTTGGAGTGAGAGTATGAGCGAATGATGGGGTTACCTGTGCACTCCTTTCCATCACCAGTAAAGCCAGGCTTACAACTGCAAGTGTAGTTATAGCCAGTGCTATAGCAGTTGGCCATCTTGTGACAGGGGGCGGGAAAAGGAGGTAGACAGAAATCTGTGCATAACAGAGTAAGAGAAGAGGCAATTAGTGTTCCTAAAAGGTGAAGCAGACAAAATAATAACCTGGAGATGCAAAAGTGATATAGTGATATTTGAGCTATTTTACCCAAAGACGCCCAAGTCTATACATTCTATACATTCTGTCTATACATATACAGTCTATACCTTCCATTAGTACAATAAAACATCAGCTAGGCATACTCAGTATGTCCAATACTAATAAATAATAAAGTGTGCAGAAAAGAAGAGAAATTTGAGATTAACTGGCTCTAAGCTCCAGACAACATCTCTGAAACCTGGTTTTGTGAAAATATTCCAGTGAATGTGATTCATGAGCAGTGCAAACCGTTCTCAAAGCACTTGTAGCCCTGTTTGTGTTCGGAGACAGTAGGAGGGGGGCACACTCCACAGGTGAAGCTGTCTGGCTCTCTTTGACTGAAGCAGTCAACTGCAGGGAAGCAGGGCCTGCCTTTACACACGTCTGTTCTATTTCCACAGTACCTGCCACTGAAGCCTGCTGGGCATAGACACCCCACAACCTGGGACAGAAGAATTAAAAAAAAAAAGATGGTGAGGTTCAGCGTGTGTGGGTGTATGGACTGAAATGAACTGAACTAGATGGAAAGTCTTGGCCAACCGCAGGAGCTATACAATAATGTAGGAGTAAGAATGAACCAGTTTGTTATCACACATCAGAATGTTGCATAATTAAATGGTTAAGATGTAAACAAAGTCACTGAGAGTGGCTTGATGTGAAATGCTCCATTCTAGAGAAACTTAGAAAGACAGAATTTCTTCACAGCGGTGGTGATGAGAACCAGACATCCAAAGAGTTTAATGCCTCTAAAAGCTCCACAGAATGTTATTAGATGAAATGATTGCAAATATGCAGCCTGATGCTTATGATTTGTGATAGCTTTGTTTTGGCCTACTAGTATGGTCTAAAATCTGTTTATGGTGGAGCAGTACATACAGGCTGTTGTAAGGAAAAATAGTACCCCCAAAAATATTTTTTTATTCATATGTATCATCATTACATGTAAAAACTCAAAAATCCACTAGTTATTTTGAATAGCAAACAAAATCACTATATATTAGACCTCTGGTTCCTATCATCACCATTGTAAAGGTCTTGTACGATAAAGGTCTTCTACAATGCACCACTTTGCATTAAATAGACCTGAATAACTTTGTTTATATCTCAGCGATTGAAAGATTCACAGAAATTTTGAAAAGTTGGTGGAATTCCCCTTTCCAAATAAGGGTTCCTAAACGGTTCTTTGCTTGGAAAAACACCCTGGTATAGAATGTTTACATATGGTTGGGCAATATGACAATATTTATCATTATTGTGATACATTAACAAACAATATGCTTTTCATCATATTGTGAATATCACCAGTACTTACAGAATACTGAACAACTGCATCACAAAGCTGCTATGATTAGTCCTGTTCAACTGGATTTAGTGAAGTGCAGTGTGTGAAGCATTTGTGAAAAGTGCAGTATTTACCAACATATGACATCCCACAAAAACGAAATATCATGATATGTTTCATGTGTTGTGAATATGTCTTTAGGTATTGTGATACTGCCATATCAACCATGGTCACCCAATATCCTTTCCACAATGTGGAGGTTCTCCACAATCACTTATGAAATAAAATAAAATAACCAAAAAAATTATGATGTATGCAAAATGGTGCTGGTCGAGTGCAGCATGAAGGTACCTGAAACTTGCCCTGCAATTGGTTCTCAGCCACGCTCTGATACTGACAGCTTCCTCCATTAAGACAGTTGCAGAGCTGCAGGATGGGGCTGAGCAGAGAGCTGGACATGTAATCACTGACCTGCACAGTCAGCAGTACGGGCTGAATGTTGAGTGGAGTCCAGACCAGAACACCATCACCTGCAGGAAGAGGAAGTACCATGGTATATCACATTGACCTGAAATGTAGCTGTGAATATCCAAGGTTTCTAGATTCTCTATTACATATTAAGGCTTATTATTCAGTAACTACAGGGACTTCAGTGCAAACTGGTTGAGCTATTCTTCAGGCTACATAAGTGTATAATAAAACTTTGGGCTCGCATGAGGGCCCTGGTCAGTTAAGGATAATACAAGGACCCTGTAACAGGCAGCCATTATACTACTGGCTTTAGGAGGATCTTACCACTGCCTATGGTGGCCTGTGGTGGTCTTGGGAAGAGCAGGGAGAAGCTGAATGCATCCCTGTTAGCATCCTGGGCTAGAAACTGCACTCTTACAGTGCTGTTCACCTTACAGCGGATGATCAGAGGCTCGCTCACCATGGGCGGCATGTTTCCTGTTTCAAATAATCACAGTCAGCCATAAAAACAGAGGCAATACTTAAAGGGCCCATATCTTGCACTTTTCTTGTATTGTTTTCCTCCGGCATTCTGCTTTTGCCATTTGTGTGGGTTTATGTGCCAAAAACAGTCCCTCCAGTGAAAAACCATATATTAACCATTCCACCCTTTTTTTTGGATTATCAGTTATTTTCTATTTTCTCTTTATTTTCTATTTTATTTGTTTCATTTGTTTCTTTTATATTAAAGATCTCAACTATACTTTATTTACATTTTAGTAAACACTTTATTTTCAATACGTAGAGTCAAGCAATGCCATAACATGCTTATATGATTATAAAAAAAGGCACATATACTATTTTCCATTGCAAGGCCTCAGTTACATGGCCATTTTTTCAACCTCGAGCATTGTACTGTATTAGGATGCCACTGTTGCAACAAGTCAGTTCTCAAAATTTCTTCCCTTCTATATATTCTACGATCAACCGTGAGTGGTATTTTTGAAAAAGGGGAAGTGGTAAGGAACCACAGCAACTCAACCTCAAAGTGTCAGACCAAGTAAAGTTACAAAGTGTGGTTGCTGAGTGCCGAGGCATAAAAGTCGCCAACGTTCTGCTGAGTTCTAAACCTCCTCTGGCACTGTGGTGTAAAGCATGCTGGCACTGGACTCTGGACCAGTGGAAACATATTCTGTGGGGTGACGAATCACGCAACCCTATCTGTCAGTCTGATGGACGAGTCTGGGTTTGGCGTTACCTGTCTGACTGAATTGTGCCAGCTGTAAAGTTTGGTGCAGGAGGGATAATGATATGGAGCTGTTTTTCAGGGGTTGGCCTAGACCCCTTAATTCCAGTGAAGAAAAATCTGAATGCTTCAGCAGACCAAGACATTTTGGACAATTCTATGCTTCCAACTTTGTGGGAAGAGAAGACCCTTTTCTGTTCCAGCATGACTGAGCCCCAGTGCACAAAACAATGTCCATAAAGGTATGACTGGGTGAGTCTGATGTGGAAGAACTTGACTGGCCCACACAGAGCCCTGACCTTAACCCCTAGGATGAACTAGAATGGAGATTGCAGTCAAGGCCCTCTCGTCCAACATCAGTGTCTGACCTCACAAATACTTTTCTGGATGAATGGGCAAAAATTCCCACAGACACGCTCCAAAATCTTGGTGTTATAGCTTCAAAGGGGGGCCAACTTCATATTAATGCCTATGGATTTAGAATGGGATGTCATAAAAGCTCCTGTAGCTGTAATGTGTAGGTGTCCCAATACTTCTGTCCTTATAGTGTAAGTAAATTACCTTTGTTCTGACTGGCTGTGCCTCATTTAAAAAGCAGTCCAGGCTGAAGTGGGAAGATGGATGGGGCTAAACTGCTGTTTTCATGACATCACAAAAACAATGAATATAGAACATAATTTTTGCAGCTTAGTTTCCGTCTATGGACTGTATGGACTTGGGTGCGATCGGTATGTTTCAAAACTTTTTGAAAGCAAGAAAAATGTGTTTTTCCATGATATGGGCCCTTTAAATCATCATCTAACATTCCTCCTGAAACAGCCAATTGTCTATAGATTTTACATTACTTTATAAGACAACTTTAATTTGAGTAACTGCTCAGCACAAGTTACATTTAACATATCAACCCATTTAGGCCCAAAACAATACTTCATGGACAGTGGTGTACATTTTCCAAGACAAAAGCAAGTCATGAGATTCAGATAAAACTATTGGTACCAGACTTGGTCAGAATCACTTCATTGTTTAGGGTCAAGAGGGCTGTCTCACCAAAGGTTACAGCGAGGTTTTGGACTTTCTGTTGGTCCTGCAGAGTCTGCTGACCCAGTCCAGTGTTATCTGTGGCCAAGATGTCATGTATACACTGCAGGCTGCCCTGGCAGGTCTGCTGAAGTCTGGCCAAAGCGACTGGGCTAACTGAAGACATCAGTTCCTCTGTGCTCACAGGCTGGAAGGGTGTCAGGGGAGGAGTGGAGAACAGGAGACTCTCCGGAACAGGGACTGCCCCTGCAGGAATAGGGGCGCATGGTAACAGTGGGTAAACACAACCACGTAAGAAGCTGAGATGTTATCTTTCCATAAACGGATGCACCAATGGAAAATCAGACGCAGGTGCATTTGTAATTCAGGATGTACTATTTTAGACTTTTTAAAACAACAATATGGTATTCATATGGAGAGCCAGGTAGACACAGTTAAACATTAACTCCTTATCATTCATTAATATCCACGTTCTAAGGCTTATTATTTAGTAAATACATGGAAAACAATACAAAACTACTGTGTTATTACTAGATTATTGGAATAGTAATCGATGTCTGGATCCACCAGCTTGTTTGATAACCTCTTAAATTTCCATGCTTATTACATCAAAAGGCTTAGTATTCAGTGACTACATGGAAAACAAGGCAAACTAGGTCTTTAAGGGGTTTCTAAAGTGGGGTCGTGGGGGGAATGAGTCCTTTTTACTTAGAAACTTGCTTATCTCATTTACAAAAATGGTTCTTCAAATGACCAGTGTTGGTAACCATTGTAAGACATACTCACATGACTGTCCAAACACTGCCAGCTTGTCCTCAGAGGGAGGGTTGTTGTCAGATGAAGGCAGCAGGCGCCCATTGGAGAGGAGGAAGTCGTCTGTACTGTTGGAGCTCCAGAGGCCCAGAAGGCCCACAGTGCGGTTGTAGAAGCTCTGAGGGACCTCCACCAGAACACTCAGCCTCCCTGCGTCACCCCTCCACACAGCCACGTTCAGACCTCCCTCATAAACTGCAGCACAACTCTGCACAGTGGAACAGCGCATTGCGAAGCCTTGCTGGGCTAAATGTACCACACCTGTTGGAACAACAGAGGGCGCTAGAGTTAAACAAAAGATACACAGATGGAATTATTTTGCTCTTATATTTTTTAATGTGAGACATTTAGCTCTAATTAAAAGAAATGAAGATGTTGTGAAATGGAAAAATATGTTATTTTAAAGCCAGCTTTCTAGCTAGCATAGCATTGGCACGTGGTAGTGATAGCCACCAGTCAAAAAACTGAGCAAAAGCTTTTACTAATATCCAACCTACAGCAAATTCAGAGTGCAGCACGATCACACTTTGAGTGACGGTGAAGAGGTGACTTCACATCAGTTCTCTGTTTGAGTGTAGGAAATCTGATTCTAGGTCAGTTTTTCACTAGAATGTCACACTTTGTCACATTTTGCTGCATTCTACCTTACGCAAATACCTTAGACCTTACCTGCAGAGACTGGCATATCCACATCATTGATTAGCACAATAAGCTTCTCTTCAGATACAGAACATCGCCATTCCACCTGCAGCAAAATGCATTCAATTTTTTTGAATTTGGTCATCACACCACCATATCAGCATCCAAAACACAACATATGTTGGGTTTGCTTTTTTTTTAGTAGCACAGTTCGTGAAGTTATCGTGAGGTTAGACTGAGAAAGCTGTCATGCTCAATCAAAAGTAATTGATTCACTGATGAAATGTTCATTTCTTTTTTGAAAACTAACAAATTTGAATGCATCTGTCACCCACAGAGCCAATCACAGCCATCATAAAATAATATTCAAACCTTGCCGAAGGCCTGGTGGTGTGCAGCTACGCGCACCAGTGCAGGCACTCTTCTGGACTGGCCGTTGGTCTCCAGCACTGCTGTCTGACCCTGGAGGGTGAAGACATTGGAGCCTGAACTCGAGGACAGACGCACAATCACAAACACTCCTAGGCCCTTGAAGGTGTAGTTACTTCCGTCAAATGTAATAAAATGGAGGCTTCCATATGCCAAGCCTGTATTAATGCAAGGAGCATAAGGGCATAAGTTTAAATTTTCAATCATGCAGTGTTAGTTATCCATGTAATGTGATGTGACATAATGTCACATAATAATGACATAAAGTTCACATGTTTTAAATTTTAAACTATTCTGTAACCCTGTAATTCTTTTTCAAAATTTCTTCATAATTCAGCAGTTGAGATGTAAACAAAGTCATGCAGAGTGGTAATGTTGATGATGGTAAAATAGTGTCAGCAAATTCATAACCATTTTATGTAATAACTTTCTGTATGGGACCTTTTAGAGGTGACATCTGGTTCCTATCACCACCACTGTAAACAATTCTGTAAGTTTCTCTAGAACAGACCATTTCACATCAAACCACTCTGAACGACTTTGTGTACATCTTAACCATTTAATTATGCAGAAATTTTGAAAAATCAGTGGAGTTCCCCTTTAACAAGTAGCGGGCCCCCTCTTTGCTCCACTCTTCTGGGAAGGCTTTAGATTTGGAACATGGCTGCAGGGATTTGCTTCCATTCAGCCATAATGGAATTTGAGGTCAGGCACTGATGGCTCATAGTCAGTGTTCCAGTTCATTTCAGTGGTGTTTGATGGCATTGAGGTCAGGTTGCTGGAAAGGTAGCATTCCATGACAGTGCTACGTTGAAAGTCACTGAGCCTATCAGTACGACCAATTTTACTGCCAGTCTGTCTGCTAACTCATCTTCGCATAATATACAGTGGACCCCTATGATGCACGCAGTACAAAGTGATGCATGCAAACCCTCAATGCTAATCAATGTAGCTATTTATACCAGGTTTGTGGCAAGCAGTGCTATTTCACTTCTGGTCTTTTTTGCTGCTTGCTACTGCAGAAGCTTGTACAAAATCGTAGGTTTAGTTCAGTATGATGATTGCTTGGTGAAGCACTGCTCCACTAAATGACCTACTGATGCCAGGGCCTGTGCTAATCCTAGTGTACTGAGGGAAACTAGTACTAACCAATGCCTGGTGCACCTCTGTTCCCAGGAATGCTAGGATCTGTGCTGGTCCAGCCAAAACCCTGACACCGGTCCAGTGGCCTCTTGGCCAGGAAGAGGTGGCACAGTGGGGATTGGACACAGCACCACTGGAAGGGCAAGAGATCTTTATCTGCAAACACACAGAGAGAGAACTATGAATGAGATTTTTCCTGTAAACCATAACTGACAAAGATACTTTCAGTGGCCTTAGAAAATCCTAATTATCAAATTTATTATGAAGAGTTGCTGTTTTACCAATGTAATCTTGTGTCTTGTCTCCAGTAAAGTAGCGTTCGCTGTATCCAGACAGCAGCGCGCCCTGCGGGTCATACACACATCTTTTTCCAGCACTTTGCTTGTTGAAGAGAATGGACTGAAACACTTGACCTCCACTTCCACCCCAGCGTAGGCCCCTTAGCTCCTTCACACGCATGCTGTTCTCAGCCGGGAGAGTTTCAGGGCCAAAGCCCAGGTCCTCCAGTGCCTGGGCACGGGTACATGGGCAAGGGGCCAGCCCTAGTGCCCACTCTTTGGGGTCTGGTTCTTTCAGGGCCCATAGCTGACACTGTCTTTGGGAGTCAGAGCTGACCACTGTGGTTCCAGTCAGGTCATAAACAAGCTGCCCCAGCTGGCCTGTATTACCCACGACAGTCTGGGGCCGATAACGCCCACCTGGACCAAACAAGTTGTCTGGTGGTGTGGGGATCTCATTGTGGAAGGTGTTGACACCATCAGTATAGCCTATCAGAGCATTATGGTGAACCCTCTGTCCCGGACCCCAGTTCATATCACTGTAGTGGAGTAAGGCAAATGAGCGAGATCCATCTGTGGCCAGGATGCTCTGGAATGTGTTTGTCTATGAAGCAACATTGAGATTAAGCAATGAGAAAAGCTTATTAGTAGATATCATAGACAGCATTCACCACCAGACCTTATTCACAGTAATATGGCCTATGTTTTCATCTTGTGGGTGAGTAAAGCTGTGCCTTACAATAGTCTTACAATATTTTAACTAAATATTCCCACTAGCTGGAACTCTTTCCATCACACATTCCTATTAGACATTTTCTCCTCTTGGGTACTCGCTTACGGCTATGGCATCATTGGAGTTCAAACTCACGTTCTCCTGTTAGGGCGATGGCCTGTTGTACCACTTGAAGTTCCTCACATTTTGTGTCCATAAATGTTTAATAGACTGTAGAAAATATCTGTTGTTTTAACTTTGAAAAGTAGCATGGTCACATGTGGTGCAACTGTCTAATAATTAATCCAAACATCAGAAAATTGTCCGTTTTGAAGCCCAACAATGGCACAGCTTTCCATATCTGGAAGCCAAAGAGGATGGTAAACAGTCCCAGCTAGTGGAGAAATTGAGATGCTAATTCTATTTACCTAACTGAGATGCAGATCTAGAAAAGGGAGTTGGGAGAACTTTTGACTAAAGTAAAAAGTTTGAGTGGGATAAACTCTGCTGTCCCCAAGTTGAGTCAAAAAAGTTTTGTAATCAGTTACTTTTTAATTTCAGGTTGAGTTGACTTCTCTGTTTTTACAATGTAGACTTAACAGTATTTGCAAATTTCCCAGTAATAAAGCTCCAGTGATTTATGGCTTTCATTATATCATTATAAGCCTCTTACATAGTGAAAATGATCAGAAAACCTCACACTAGAGTGTGTCATAGCAATACAAGCTGAGCTTGTGAATTTGTACATCAAGCGCAATCACGGTTAAAATGACAAAAACATGTAAAAATGCATCTAAATCAATCTGTCTAAAGAAAATTGATGAAAAAGGGTAAATAACACAATCCAATGCGGGGTTTATACAGTACATATGCAAAAATATCCAGACACTCCATTGTAATTAGTGAATTCAGCACCTTTAAGATGCATCTATTGTTAACAGAGGAGTTCAACTGCGCGCACACACACACACACACACACACACACACACACACACACAGCTTGTATAATCTCCTTAGAAAAGCATTGCTAATAAAATGGGACACCCTGGAGTAGTTGCACGTGAGCCTAAGGTCACCATGCCCAATGCCACACATTGATATAAAGCCGGTTGTAGATCAGCGGAGTGATTTAACACCATCCAATTTTTAGCTCCTTACAATCAGTATTGTTCACATCATTTTCATACTGGTTGGGCACCAACTACAATGTGAAAAGCATTCCATCACATACAGCTCTGATGTATGTTTTTGGTGCTGTCTTCTCACCTGCTTACCTCAGACAAATTGATCTTCTGGTAGGAGACAGGCAGCACATGGTCCCATGTGATTTTCAGAATCCATGAAGGGGTGAAAGCAGGTCTTCCTCTCTGGGCCTCAAACTGACTCACCTCGTCTGCTGTGCGGTTAAAGACTATTTGAGAGTAAACGTCTGAAAGATTCAGCTGGTTATATTCCTGTTCGAGGGAAAAATGTAGAACAAACAACACAGTTCAAAGTAAGTAATATGTCGCTATCACCCTCATGTATCATAGATTTAAGGTTTTTTTCAGACAAAAAAAAGTTTTGAAAACAAATATATATGCATGATAATGCCATATTTCACATCTGACTGGCTGCGATTTGCATAAAATTTTTAATTGGAGCCAGTTTGATTTTCTGCATTGTATAGATGTGTTATACATCAGGCTAACAAGATTTTGTCACAGTGTATAATGGTTGCAGTCCAACAAATAGCAGCAGAACAGCTTATTTGCTTGTGGCAGAGCACAAAAGCTTCTATGACAGACAACAAGCCGACTTTAAAATTGCAAATGTTAAATAAACATATAGAGGATCGTGGCTGAAAGGCTGGGAATTATGCTCTGTACCTCAGTACAACAAAGTGACTGTTTATAGCCATTTGTTTGGATATCTAGGTGCATGCTAGTCTGTTCATGCCCAGTCCTTTTAGAAAGGGGTTTAAAAAGGGGTAGAAAGGGGTTTATGTGGTGTGTGTGTCTTTGAGTTGCAGAGCTTAAATGAAAAAAGATAAATGCATCATTGCTACTACTTAAGGAATCCATTTTCCTTCCTCTTCTGTCTTCTTGCCAGTGAGTGTTAAAATTCAAAACCATGAGATTTGGTGTGAAGACTCCACATTTCTTTTGTCTAAAAAATGTACTTGGTGTGAATAAGCCTTAACACAATGTACTTAGTCTGAAAAGCAGATTAGATGAGTACACGCATGACTTCCACTAACCTGGTAGAACAGTTTTCCCTCTCCTAACGTGAGGTCAGCGTCGTCCCAGAACACAGCTAGCATGGGCGAGCTTTCATTACCCTTGAAGCCTTCAGGGAATGGAGCAGGAAGCAGGAGCTTCTCATTCTCACTGACAGTCTGCAGCTGGACCAGGCCGTTGTCTGAAAACTGAAGAGATGAATCTATCTGAGTGATCCATATGAAAAAAGCTTCATGTCTGTCTACTAGAATCCATGAACTTGTTCATAACAAGACAACTTTCATTTTATGGTAAAGGTAATAGAACTTAAACTTGTGGAAATTTCAATGTTCATTAATTAACATAAGATTGACTTTTAAGACCTGTGTACTCACAAAAGAGCCTGTCGTAGAGTTTGCCCATAAATGGAAAACCCACTGGAGGAGTTATGTATGGAGAATTTCCATCCGCCATTGACATGGGTAAATCCTTATCACCAACCTCTTTTCCAAAAGGGTACAGTCTGCTCTCTGTAGACATACATAACAATATTTCATGTGCTCTCACATGCATTTCAATATTTAAACCTCTTTCTGTTTATACAGTGATTTCAACACTAGAGTTTTGCTGCAGTGCTAAGTCAGTGCTGAAATTTGACTTGGATAAAGCTATCAGTATACGTTACTTCATGATGTACTAATGATTCAAGATGATAGATAATCAGCTGACAACCCTCTATTCAACATGTAGGCCACATTTGGAGCAGCTAAACTTTTCTGTAGGGTTATAATGTAATGCCTGACCCTTTTGTGCCAGCTGTTGACAGTTGGTATTATCACCGGGGCAGACACAGCTGAAGGATCCCATTGAGTTTGTGCAAGTTGTATTGCCATAACAAGCATTGGATGAAAGACACTCATTTCGGTCACTGCATCCATGTGCTCCGCTCCCATTCTGAGCCGTAGTATCCCAGCCCTTAGCACATCGGCAATGGAAACCAGCTACAGAGTTGTAACACGCAGCAGCGGGATGACACCCGCCTCGGTTCTGCTGACACTCATCTAGGTCCACACACATAGGCCCTAGAGCCAGAAAACCTGGCGAACACATACATATGTAAGATCCTGGGGTATTGATGCAGCGGCCTTGTCGATGGCAGGGGGAGGTGGGTGAGGAGCATTCGTTGATGTCCTTACACTGTGTGCCATCCCCAAAATAACCAAAAGGGCAGTTACAGGAGAAAGATCCTATAGTGTTCCAGCACCGGGCCAGGGCATGGCACACTGCTGTGGCATTCTGACATTCGTCTGTGTCTGTACAAGTCCCATTCTCCTCATGGTACCCTACGGGGCAAGAGCACTGGTACGATCCAAGCAAATTGGTACACACCTGGTCTGAGCGGCAGGAATTAATGACGAGACACTCGTTGATGTCGGTACAGTTGGGCCCCTGAGCCTTGTAGCCAGGTACACAGGGGCATAAGAAGGAGCCTACAGTGTTTATGCACCGTGAATTTTCAGTGCAAGGGCTTTTGTCTGCCAGGCATTCATCAATGTCTTGACACACTGTACCATTCTGTAGAAAGCCTGGATAGCACTTACATTCGTATGAGCCTGGAACGTTCACACAAGTCGAGTGAGGTTGGCATACTGAACTATTCAGGGATGCTGAGCACTCATCTATATCGAGGCACTCTGTCACATTGCTCCAAAATCCATTATTGCACTCACAATAGAATGACCCAGCAGTGTTGATGCAGATCCCATTCGTGCACAATGGACTCAAATCTGGCTCTGAGCACTCATCTATGTCCCAGCAGTGGGTGCTGTTGGTGTTACGGTGGAACCCAACCTGGCATGGGCACAGAAACGCACCCGCCGTGTTGACGCAAGTGCTATGCTCTGGGCATGTAGAGTTATCTAGGCATTCATTAATGTCCTCACAGTGTGAAGCATTACCTGCGTATCCATCCCAGCACTCACAGAAATAGGATCCAATTGTGTTTTGGCAGTCAGAGGAATTGGGGCACAGCGCCAGTCCTGTGGCGCACTCATCAATGTCCAAACACAGGGAGTTGTTGGCAACAAAGCCAACATTGCATGGACAAAGGTATCCCCCGCCTTTATTCTTGCAGGTACTGTTGTCTGGACAAGTAAAGTTTCCTGTCTCGCACTCATTTATATCCTCGCAGTGTGTCCCATTGTCCCGATAACCCTCCCAGCAATTGCAGTAGAAAGATCCCTCTGTGTTGAAGCAGTAGGCAAACTGTGGACACGGTTCCCCTCCTGCCCAGACACATTCATCTATGTCTGTGCACTGTGTTCCATTCCCATAAAAGCCCCCTCTGCAGGCACAGTAGTGAGAGCCCAGTATCATATTGCACTCAGCGTGTCTGCTACAGCTGCTGGTGGCATTCTCACACATTCTCTCACTCACACAGGTGCCTGAGTCATAGACCATTCCTAGAATGCAACTACAGGTGTAGGCTCCTGGCATGTTGTGGCAAATCATGTTTGTTCCACAGCTTGATGGTGACAGACACTCATCCACATCTGCACACGTAAACCCATCCCCCTGGTATCCCTCCAGGCAGCGGCAGATGTAGGACCCCAATGTGTTTTTGCACAGAGCAAGATGGCTGCAGTTCTGTGGTAGGGTTGAATTCTCCGAACACTCGTCCATGTCCATGCAATCAAATCCTGACCCAGGCATGCCAGGTGGGCAGATGCACTTGTAGGAACCAGGGGTGTTAATGCAGCTGGCTACAGGATGGCACCCTCCATTGTGAGACTGGCATTCATCAATGTCTATAAGTCATCCAAAATGGGACAGGGTCAGGCAAAAAACCTAAAAGTACTAAAAAGAGAGCACAGGCAAAAGCAAAGTTGCGATAAGAGACTTAAGAATGGAGAAAATGGCTTACCAGAGCAGTTTTTCCCATCACCAGTGAAGCCGCTGAGACAGAAGCACAGGTGACTTCCCGATGGTGTTGACACACTGTGCAAAGTCACTGCACTCATCGCTTCCTGAAGTGCACTCATTCACATCTTAGGAGGGGAGCATCAACAGGAAAAGACAAAGAATATTTAAATTATTTAAATATTTCAATATTTAAATGACTGTATTTAAATTATTATTTTATCATTGTTGACAATCTGAAGGCCCCAGGGAATGAGGCCTTATAACGCTGATACAAAACAAGATTTAAATAATTAGTCAAACTATAGAAATCAAGCAGGATAATTAGAACATCCTAACTAATTTGCATAGTTCAATTGCAGAAATTCAAAATTTTCAATTCAAATCACTGATTTGTGTCAGTACTACACCTTGAAATATTTGTCCGAACATGATGGGTCCTAACTCTTCACATTGGTTTCGTTCGGTGTCTTCCACTTTCAACAGGCTTTACCCAGCATTTCAACCTGCTTGACTTCAGCTATCCTTACTTTATTCTTCCTCCCTACTCTCACCACTTTAAACAGTTTTAAATCTGGCATGCTGAGAAGTGATTCACGTGCTTATATTGTTGACGGAGTTCCATTCGGCCCATGGTTGTGAGAAAATGGATGCACAGGAAATAAACAATGAATCAGTTCAGGAAAGTGCAGTGTAGTGCAGCCAAATGGATGTTTAATTTGTTTGGCCAAAACTTTGCTGTATTTTTTTATGATGTGAGTTCGATACGTTCTATGTAAAGAATGAGAGCTTTAGGATTAAACAGGTGACGGCTACCATTTTGCTATATCTGCATTACACAGCATGAGAATAGCACAGAATGGAAAGTATATCCAGACTAAAAACATTCGGGATATTGTTCCAAAGCATTGCTTGATGAATACATTTGTTAAAGTGGGATTTAAATTTTGCATGGCTGATTGTTGTAGTATAGCATATTATTTTATATTTGTTATATTATTTCATATATCTATAATCTAATGATGGTCATTATTATCACTACATGGTAACAAATACTATCCTACACTGTTAGAAATAAAGGTTCTGTGCAGGTAAAATTTTTATTCATCAAGGTGCAAACAATGCAAATGTACCTTCAAAGCTACAACAGTGGTTTTAGGGTCCAATTGTGTACCTTAAATAAGGTTTTCCAGGTGAAAAGTACACATGTTTTGAAACAGAACAATAAAATAAAAGCCTGGAGACGAGACGGGGTATGTGGAGTCGATTCAAATTAGAAAATATAATTTCAATGGATTATGGTACAATTATGTTCCCTGACTAGAGGTACAGAGATGTACCCTTGAGGGTGCCACCCTAGTGACAAGAGGGGTACTGCCCCAGTGATTTTTTAGTACGTTTTTTTATGAGAGTGTATCATTTCAGTCATTCAGTTTTTGTGTTTGATGATGGGCCAGTTTGGGTCAGTTTTGGACAAAATTTTGTTTTGGATAAAGCTATCAGCATACTTTTCTTCATGATGTGTTAATAATTCAGGATGGTAGATGATTAGCTTTTCAACATAGTTTTGGACTGAAACCTTAATGATGTGGTTCAGGTTGAATTCGGACACATTTCTGTTGAGCTCAAGTTGGGTTTGGGACGTGATGCTGTGCGATAAATTGGGCTTGGATAGATAATTCACAGACTGTATTTGGGTTTAGAACAAAATTTCAGGCCCTGTTAAAGCTCTGTTCAGTATTACATAATTACCTATGCATTCTGTTCCATACTGAGTGTAACCCTTTTTGCAGATGCAGGAGAAGGAGCCTGGGCTGTTCACGCACTCAGTCTCATTCTTGAGACACACTTTGTCACTTAGACACTCATCGATGTCTGAACAAATGCTCCCATCCCCCTCAAAGCCCATGTCACACACACACTGGTATCCCATGGGTGAAGGGTGACAGAGCCCATGTGGATGGCAGGGAGGACTACACCCTTGGCTAGGAGCAGTACAGGTGTTATTGTATGCCACTGTGCCATTCAGGCATGAGCAGACGTATGCTCCAGGAGAGTTAACGCACATTGAGAAGTCAGGGCAGGTAGTGTTCGAGAGCACACATTCATTCAAGTCTGTGCAAGTGAAGCCATCTCCTTCAAAGCCCTTTTGGCACTGGCAGTGGAAGTCGCCAGGGACATTGAAGCACAGGGCACGTGGGTGGCATGCACCGCCTGCCAGGCATTCATTTACGTCTTCACATTTGGTGCCGTTTCCACTAAATCCATGCTTGCAGGTGCACGTGAAAGAGCCCACTGAGTTGAGACAGGTAGCATTGCGGTGGCATGGCTGACCCACTGTACACTCATCAATATCAGTACACTCTGAGCCCAGGGTGGGTCGACTAAATCCAACCTGACAAGGACACTCATAAGAACCTTCTTTGTTGAAGCATTTCTCATTAGTTTTACATGGCTTTTCCAGCACCTTGCATTCATCAATGTCCTGGCAGATTGTGCGGTTGACTAGATTAAACCCAGAGGGGCAGACACAGGAGAAGGATCCCATGCTATTGATACAAGTGGCCTTGACACTACATCCACCATTATTCACAAGACACTCATCTACATCTGAGCATCGAGCCACACCGTCTCCTGTGAAGCCCACCATGCAGCTGCAGTTGTAACTTCCAGGCAAGTTGGTGCAGATGGCATTGGGGTGGCATTTCTGGGATGAAGTACATTCATCTACGTCTGCACAGGATAATCCGTCACCAGCATAACCTGGAAAGCACGCACAGGTGAAGGAGCCAGGGAAGTTTGCACAAGAAGCATGCTGGCTACAACGACCTATAGCGCATTCGTCCAGATCCTGACACTGTGTTTTATTGAATACGTAGCCCTGACCACAATCACAGTAAAATGACCCTGGAGTGTTGACACAGGCAGCACTGGCTGGGCATTTGTTATTTTCTGAGCACTCGTTAACGTCCGTACACTGGCGCCCGTCTCCCACGAAGCCAGAGCGACAAGAGCATTCATAGCTGCCCAGCACATTGATGCACACCGCATTGGGGTCGCAGTCGTTCTTTCCGCTACATTCGTTGATGTCCACACAAGTCAAGCCATTCCCCATAAAGCCATCCTGACAAGTACATCTATACGACCCTGGTGTGTTCACACAGTCAGCAAACATGCTACAAGTATTGCTTGCACATTCATTAATATCCTCGCAGGTTCTCCCATTGCTTTGGTAGCCACTGTTGCAGAGGCAGCGGTAGGTTCCTGGCAGGTTCCTGCAGCCTCTAAAGCCAAATGAGGCAGAGCACACACCTGGAGTTTCTGTACACTCATCAATGTCCAGGCACAGGTAGTTTCCATTGCCCTTATAGCCAGCGTTACACGTGCATACGTATGAGCCAGGGTTGTTGGTGCAGGTTGCATTCCAGTGGCAGATGCCTGGTGTGGTGCATTCGTTATTATCAGTGCACTGAAACCCATTTCCACTGAAGCCAGGCTTGCACTGGCAATCTTGCCCACCCTCTCTGTTGGTGCAAATTGCATCAGAGTGGCAGCCACCATTCCCTGTTTGGCACTCGTTAATGTCCACACACTGGAAGCCATCACCAGAGTAGCCATCCAGGCACACACAGCTGTAGCTGCCTGGAGTATTTTCACAGCGTGCTCTAATGTGACACGTGTGAATACCAGCGCTACACTCGTCAATCTCTATACAATGGATTCCATCTCCACTGTACCCACTAAAGCAAGTGCAGGTGAAGTTGTCGCGCAGTTTGATGCACTCTGCATGCGTATCGCATATCTTCCCTATGTTTTCACAGTCCTTGATGTCCGCACCTGTGAGTAAGAGAATACAGTGCAGATGGTTGAACAGATCAAAGTAGAAAAATATCTTTTAAGTCATGTTTGATTAGGGATGTGACAAACCTGCACTGGTGTAAATGAGCAAAGCACACAGATACAGCAGTGAAGTCCTGCAAGACAGAAGAGACAAAGACAATATGTCATCTTAGCAGCATATGAAACACCAGCGGATTACAACTGATAAACAAAATGTTCAGAATATCTGATACTTCAGCGTCTCACAGTCCGGTTCCTCCTGAGCTAAACATTTACTGTGTTCCCTGATGCAGTTGCTTTAAACCTAAAAAGAGCTTGTTAGTTAGCAGATTAGGGGGGTCGGGTTTTTTAAGAGGAGGTAAAACTCTTCGAAATGTTTTATCTCCTACACTTGCAGTGCACAGGTACATGTTTGTTCATCAAGATACATACAATGTAAATGTACCCCCAATGATACAACAAGGTCCAATTGTGTACCTTAAATAAGTTTTTCCCAGAGAAAAGGAGCATATTTATACCTTTTTCAAAACCTAATGTTTTAAAATAGAAAAATTAAATGAAACAGTGTGGTGAGAATGTGGGGATGGTGCATCAGTGACTAAAAAGGTAAAGACAGTTAAGAGAATATACACTAAAACTAGTATTAAATTAATTCCTACATTATGTTGCTTATATGGAATTTAACTATGAATGTTCCTTCAGCCCGAGTGAGTAAGTAGCTTCATTTCTATAGGCTAAGCTATCAACATGGCCATATTAGCTACAGCTCTTACTCTAGTAACCGTAACCTATTTCCACACAGAACAAAAGCAGAGCAGGTACAGTTACTGTGTCCGATTTCAAATTTCACAAGTCACAAAAAATCTTGGTGTATGAGACATGACCTACAGTACAATATGTGAGAACAGTTGGCATTTACAGTAGCAAAAGGCAACCTATGGGTGTGTAAGCACCTTAAAGAAAGCAGTGTGACTCATCATCCACTTCCTGAAAAACAGTAAATAGGTATTCTACACAAAATCAGTGGAAAAAGTCTTCTTCCTTCCTTCACTCCTGAAAAGGTTTTTTGAATAAAGTATCAAGGTATGATTATTTAACTGCAAATGTATGTGACAGTGAAGAGAGTCCACAGGGCAGGTGTAACTGAAATCAGCACAGAAGGCTTTATGAATAGGAAAGCTGATAACAATAATCCCAGATTTCTGATTCAGTTACATGCTGATTATTGTCCCACCCTGTGGGCCTGAAACAGGCTTTGTCTAGAAGCAGAGTGAGCATCAGCAGAAATCTCCTGTACTCCACAGTCACACTGTGTAAAGACAGCTTGAGTCAATAAACCATTTTGTGCACCTGCTGCTTCTCCATTATGTTCTTCCTGTATCATGAAAATACACCTGTGTCCAACAATTTAAAGTGTAGCTGAGAAATCCAAATTAATTAAAAGCAAATTGTTAATTGGTTTTATAAGAGCATGCATTTTCATCATTTATAAAATAGAGAATTATTCTATTTTGTGGTGTGATTCAGGATGGTTTGAACATCTATCATTATTTATTATCATTAATACATGTGTTGAATTATTATTATTATTATTATTTCAATTTTAGGTTCTATTTTAGCATTTTCACTGTTTTCAGAAATGTATTTTATAACATTACACTATATTTTGCTATTCAACTAAACTATTTAAATAGGAAGAAAATAATCTGCTATGTTATACATAGTATAAAAATGTTTGTTCTGACATTGGGTGAGGCTTCGGGGTTAGGGTCACTCTCTGGTGGGCTAAATCAAACATCCTAACAGGCCAGCTTTGGCCTGTGGCCACACTTTGGGCAGCCCTGGTCTATACAATCTGTATAAGTCAAGTACTATCAAAATACCCAATTACATTTTCGCTTTTTTCTATAGTAATACTGCATAAGTGCATAGTGATGAATATAGATAACAAACGACAGATATTACCTAATAAAAAAGTGTTTTAATTCAAGAAATCTGTACAACTGATCAAATAGATTACAATGTATGCAAAACACTCTAAGGTTAAGCTGACCCTGTCTGATAAATGACACTCTGTATCCCATGGCTAAATAGTTTAAAACAGAGAATTGTGATTCTGTCAACAGGCTAATATATAAACCAGTACTTACTGCATATCTCACAGTTAGATTGAAGACTACCGGACCGGCATTGGGGCGGACAGCGCAGGTCACTTGTCGGCTGCTCTGGATGTCTGTGCTCTTCTCTCAGGTGACTGTGGTCCCCCTGAGCACTCTCTCTCTCTCTCTCTCTCTCTCTCTCTCTCTCTCTCTCTCTTTCTGTCTCCTGAGACTGAACATAATGGGGAGGCCAGCATAAGAAGGAAACACCCATATTTCCTTATGGTCATGTTTTGTCCTCCTTGCAAACCGACTCCCTTTGGCATCTCACTTGTCCTTTCCCACAAAACAGACGTAACAACAATGAAGAGTCATATTTCATTGTTAAGGCATCTTATTGTAGCCCCCCCAGATACAGCTTTACCTGCATTTTAAACATAACTTCAGAAATCACACATCTGCCACCAGATGTTTAACCTGCTAGAGACGTGGCTTAGCTGAGAGTTAAGGCAACTACAATTAAAGCTCATATTCAGCTCAGATATTTTAATATTTGACACTGAGCCCAGTACTTTCCACCACTGCCTTAATTTCCAAGCTAAATGAAGTTTTAACTGATGCAGTTATGCATTCATTTCTACCAGGTAACTTTACAGGTGTGTCAGTTATCCTCGTTAGGCTGGTGTACTTCTGCAGTGAACACAAGCATTTAGTCAAATGGAACAACATCATTGAGTTTTAGAAAAAACACAGTGACATTTTTAAATGGTTGAATAGAAGTTTTAATCTGATATGTTTTAAGAGACATACAAGTACTTACATACATAATGAGTAACAAATAAAAAGAAGAGAAAATTGTACACACAGCTGGGTCCGGTGATGTGCACAGACTTTGGTAAAAGTGAAGGCCTGGCTGTGAGATTTTTAGAGAATATAAAGATAAAGAAAAAAGGAAAAGATAACAAAAAAGTCCCATTGATGTGTTCAAGCTATGTGAGAAAGGCATTGTTATTGATTGTTGAGGAAAACACATAACCCCATTTCCGAACAAGTTGGGATGCTGTGCAAAATGTAAATAAAAACAAAATGCATTGATGTGCAAATCATTTAAACCCTGTATTTAATTGAAAATAGTACAAAGACAACATATTAAATGTTGAAACTGAAAAATATATGCACATTTTGAATTTGATGCCAACAACATGTTCCAAAAAAGTTGGGACGGGGGGCATGTTTACCACTGTGTTTCACCACCTCTTCTTTTAACAACACTCTGCAAGCGTTTGGGAACTGAGGAGACACTGCTGTAGTTTTGAAAGTGAAATGTTTTCCTATTCTTGTTTGATATAGGATTTCAGCTGCTCAACGGTTCGGGGTCTCTTTTGTCGTATTTTTCACTTTATAATGCGCCAAATGTTTTCAGTGGTGACAGGTCTGGACTGCAGGCAGCCTGGTTTTTATACCCAATCATGTTACTGGCCTGTTGTCAATCAACCACCAGGTGTTTTTTAGCATTACACAACTTTACTAGCCTTTTGTTGCCCCCGTCCCAACTTCTTTGGAACATGTTGTTGCCATCAAATTCAAAACGGGCATACATTTTTCAAAAAACAATAAAATTTCTCAGTTTCAAAATTTGATATGTTGTCTTTGTACTATTTTCAATGAAATATAGGGTTTAAATGATTTGCACATTAATGGTGCCAGTTTTGTTTTGATCTAGGGGCACATATGCAAGAACACGCAAACTCCACATAGAAAGAACCCTGGTCACCATGGTGGGAGTCAAACCCAGGTCCTTCTTGCTGTGAGGGGACAGTACTACCTACCATACCACGCCACTGCCCAAATCATGCACTAAAACATTGTATAGTAATTATGTTAACTTACTAATAGTGTCTTTATGTAATTTAAGACAGATGTACCATGTGATACATATGGCAGTATAGACGTCTAACCATTATTAAATAAATAAATTAGATGTTTTACCATTTAAACTCAGGGTAGGTAGCATTCATTGCTGTTTTAACAGAAGTGACTTCCTCTACATGATTGAAATATGATTTTTTATTCAGTATTCAAATATTTGTTCAAGATTATTAAAAATATATTCTTCTTTGCTACAAATGAAAATGTAATCTCTGTTTACAGAAGTGGCATATATAACTTACCTCCATCAGCAGAATGTCTAGTTTTCATATTCTCTGGAAAAATCTGGTAAGCTGATGCAAAGTCAATTCATTCAATACATTTTGAGCTTTGTGCATGAAAAAATATACCTAAAAAAACAGAAGTCGTGAAACTAGACTGTATGACAAAATTTAAGTGGCATGAAAAACATAGTATCTCTTGTTTATTGATGGTTACGCCATGTGACATTTTAAGGCTTTTAAGGTTTTTGAAATATTTTATATATTAAATTATATTAAATAAATATTTACGTTGAATTTTTTTTTGGAACATCTCAACCTCCTTATTTGTTACATACATTTAGGGTGATAGAGTTATTTAAAGTGTTACTGAAGGTGTGGGCACCTCTTCCAACACTGGTCTGTGATGATAACTATAATAATAACTATAACAGACCTATAGTAACTACAGTGAAGTGTAGTATGCTACAGTACTCTAATGTAATATTATAGTGTTTACTATAGGGTCATTAGTGTACTATGGTGTTTACCACAGTAACTACAGTGTTTACTATAGTAAAGTGTAGTACACTGTAGTATATATTCATGTAGTATTCCTAGTGTGTAGTGTAAATGTGCTGTAATGCATACATGTTCCTCCAGAAAAATCCAGCACAGACCAGCATGAATGTTGTTTAAATGCTGCTATGTGGGCAGCACAGTAAAGCAGGTTCCCCTGCTTTGTATGCTGGTTGACCAGCAATGCCTGTGGACCTGTAAGCTCTTGCTGGTAAATCAGTTAGCTATTGCTGGAAAAAAGTGCTTAGAAGCAACTTCCTCACCTGCCATGTCGTATTTTACTGATGTGCAACCACTTCACATATTTGAATCACGTTCATGGCCAGTGATGGAACAGATCAAATATTTGATACTGCTGATACCAAATCCAGTCCATTTCTTATTACATAAAGACTGAATTATTTAGAGCTAAGCTTAAGTGGGAGAAAAAGATTTTACCTTGAACTTTATATATATATATTGTTGCATTTTTTGCTCTCAGAGTTCACATCCAGTATGAAAACTTTAGTTGTGCTGTGTCTCTGGCATTTATCTCTGGAGCCTCTTCATCATGTGGTAAGTGTTTTAATGTCTTAACGGCTTAATGGCTGTAAAATTTTTATTTGTTGAGTTAAAATTCTTTGTCAAGTTTAAAATCCTGTTGCCTGTATAAAGTTCTAAAAGTTATGGCCTTGAATTTGTGAAGGCAGCTTCACTCATGTTGAACTCATTGACATATAAACTTGACCACTAAAGCCTAGTTTTCATTGTAAAATGTTGTATTGCTAATATTAGGCAACGAGAACTTCAGATATGAATGCAAGTAGTTGTGGCTGCACCTGATGTTCTTCCAGTAAAATGGCCATTGGCTGCCATGTCTCTGGCTCTGGCTAACACTTAAATGTTAATGCTACAGGATATAAAACCATGAAGTGGGTGAACTGTGATGGAACTTCATGCACATGTTCTTGTTGGAAATGCAGAGGGGCAGCCAGTCGACTGCATCAAATGTAAATTGGTGGTAAGATATTTGTTGATCAGGCCTAAGAGTTTGTACTGTAGTCCATGTAGGTACTGAATAATAAGCCTTAGTATATAATAAGCCTGGGATTTTAAGTGGTTAAAGCCCCATAGTGAGATGATATGGAAATAAAAGATAACTCACTGGAAGTCAGTACTCACTGAATTCAGTAAAATAACCACAACTAAGAAAGACGTGGTTATCTAGCCAGACTTGGCGTCATACCTTTGAACAGATTTTACATGTACTGTGTGATGTGTAATTGGTCCTCCACACTGTTTAGTGCAGATTCTCCAACTCTCCACTTGGGTCTCTGGTTTAGGAAATGTGTAAAAATTCCCTCCTTCATTCTAAACTCTTAGTTATGAAGTATCTGACTTAGCAGAAGCAATCTTAACATTGCAGCATACTGTAAAAATATGAAAGAACGTCAGAGGTTACAACTGGACAATCAGTAGTGTTTAGGGGAGTTTGTCCATGATCATTTTTACAACACTTTATTATTAAGGCTTTGTTTTCAGTTCATCAGCTAACACGACAAAGAGGGTAACCTTTTACATAGCTGTTCAAATTTGGGTTTCAGTCTTAATTTATAACTTTCCTTTCACACATTTTACATGCAATGATAGCAACAACCAGAAGCTCAGTTCCAAAAAAAATCAAACTTAAATTAGTTGACTTCACTAACAAAAAAAAACAAAAAAAAACATTAAAAATTAAGTGGAGTTACTTAACAGGTTCAAGCCTCAATAGATTCATGTATGAGTTATAGTTGCCTTCTAATTTATTAGTGATCCACACTTCTACAGCAAGTAAGGAAACTCAGAAAGTACAGTAATTATAAATGGTGTCTGTTAAGGTGACAGTACTCTTTCTATCTCCTTGCTCTTGAACTAGTTAGGTTAACTTAAATTACATATTCTTCCTTGTCTAATGTACTGACATCAAGTAAAACTACTCCATTATAGTAAAAGGGGCTGTTTCATACAGTAATGAATAAATGGTTTAGATGAGAATAAAATCAGCCATTTCTGAGGACTCTAATAGCTGCATGCATGTTTTCCATTCTGTTAGCGTTCATGGCTCCAGGCTGAATACAAAACACCTTCATGGTGCGAACAAAAAACTCGTAAAATGCATCTAAACTTCACATTTAATATGAGAGGAATGCTATGACAGAAAATAACATTAGAAAAATAACCGTAAATTAACACAAACCAACAAATCCGCTATGAATGGACCTCTTTCACCAATATTCCTAAGTTACTTCTTAAATGTGTTCTTAAGAAAGGTCCTAAGAAAAGGTCCACGTCAGATTCATGATGTGTTCTCAAACTGCAGAACTGTTCACACCTTTGTGCTCTTGAGTGTGTGTAGATTCTGTTCTTACCTAAGAACAAATCCCAGATAAGAAAACACTGATGAATGTCAGAATCTTTGTGAAAACTGCATAAGTGGGTTTTAAGAAAAAATTTCTTCTTAAGAACGATTGGTGAATGAGGCCCAATGCTGGGAAGTTTGTGGCCACAAGATTCTTCAGTCTGTAGGACTTAACCAAACTAACTGCTCTTAACTAGATTTATCTAAGAGTACGTGTTACTAAATCTGTATTAATAATTCTAACAAATTAGTAATAAAAAAAAATGTTGAAAATGGTACAAAACCACAATATTTGATGTTTTACCTTATGAACTTCATTATTTCTGTAAATATATGCTCATTCTAAATATGATGCCTGCAACCAATGTGTGAAATAGGGAGTCTTGTGGGGTCTGGGATGCCATAATTAAGCTTTTGGACCCCCTGAAAGTCTCAAAATCAAAATTCTGAGAGGTCCCTGAAAATAAACCTATTATGATGTTATGCTTTCTTGGAGAAAAATAGACATTCTGATACAAATTCAGCGAAGGTCATTTTTTCAGTCTGCTTCATCCATAATCGGCAAACTTTTATCTTTGGCATTTTGAACTATCTAGTGAAGCAGCACTGGTCTGCCTCAGGGTGGCGCTGTAGCAAACTGGTTCACCCATTTGGTCTTACATAGCCTAGCAACTGTGACTATGCTTGGGATACCTCTGAAAAACTTAACAATATGCCACAGCATATTTGTAAATCTGAAAACTTGCTCAACTTCCCAACAGACTGGAGGAAAAAGTGAATTGTTACTCGTTTCTCAAACTGAAGACCAAAGGAGATCTCAGTTAATGTGCCTGCATGAACAAACCAGACAACAGCATTTCCAAAAAGAATTGTAAAGCCAAACATTTGGTGTCATTAAAGCTAACATCAGCATCGCTATGGCAAGTGAGTTAGCAGCCAGTAAATGCTGGAGTAGACAGCCAACATGGGGACCCCAGAAAATGAGGCAGAGCATAAACCTGGAGTTTCTGTACACTCATCAATGCCCAGGCACAGGTAGTTTCCATTGCCCTTATAGCCAGTGTTACACGTGCATACGTATGAGCCAGGGTTGTTGGTGCAGGTTGCATTCCAGTGGCAGATGCCTGGTCTGGTGCATTCGTTATCATCAGTGCACTGAAACCCATTTCCACTGAAGCCAGGCTTGCACTGGCAATCTTGCCCACCCTCTCTGTTGGTGCAAATTGCATCAGCATGGCAGCCACCATTCCCTGTTTGGCACTCGTTAATGTCCACACACTGGAAGCCATCACCAGAGTAACCTATAGCGCATTCGTCCAGATCCTGACACTGTGTTTTATTGAATACGTAGCCCTGACCACAGTCACAGTAAAACGACCCTGGAGTGTTGACACAGGCAGCACTGGCTGGGCATTTGTTATTTTCTGAGCACTCGTTAATGTCCGTACACTGGCGCCCGTCTCCCACGAAGCCAGAGTGACAAGAGCATTCATAGCTGCCCAGCACATTGATGCACACCGCATTGGGGTCGCAGTCGTTCTTTCCGCTACATTCGCTGATGTCCACACAAGTCAAGCCATTCCCCACAAAGCCATCCTGACAAGTACATCTATACGACCCTGGTGTGTTCACACAGTCAGCAAACATGCTACAAGTATTGCTTGCACATTCATTAATATCCTCGCAGGTTCTCCCATTGCTTTGGTAGCCACTGTTGCAGAGGCAGCGGTAGGTTCCTGGCAGGTTCCTGCAGCCTCTAAAGCCAAATGAGGCAGAGCACACACCTGGAGTTTCAATACACTCATCAATGTCCAGGCACAGGTAGTTTCCATTGCCCTTATAGCCAGCGTTACACGTGCAGGTGAAGGAGCCAGGGTTGTTGGTGCAGGTTGCATTCCAGTGGCAGATGCCTGGTGTGGTGCATTCGTTAGTATCAGTGCACTGAAACCCATTTCCTCTGTAGCCAGGCTTGCATTGGCAATCTTGCCCACCCTCTCTGTTGGTGCAAATTGCATCAGCGTGGCAGCCACCATTCCCTGTTTGGCACTCGTTAATGTCCGTACACTGGTGCCCATCTCCCACAAAGCCAGAGCGACAAGAGCATTCATAGCTGCCCAGCACATTGATGCACACCGCGTTGGGGGCGCAGTCGTTCTTTCCGCTACATTCGTTGATGTCCACACAAGTCAAGCCATTCCCCATAAAGCCATCCTGACAAGTACATCTATACGACCCTGGTGTGTTCACACAATCAGCAAACATGCTACAAGTATTGCTTGCACATTCATTAATATCCTCGCAGGTTCTCCCATTGCTTTGGTAGCCACTGTTGCAGAGGCAGCGGTAGGTTCCTGGCAGGTTCCTGCAGCCTCTAAAGCCAAATGAGGCAGAGCACACACCTGGAGTTTCAATACACTCATCAATGTCCAGGCACAGGTAGTTTCCATTGCCCTTATAGCCAGCGTTACACGTGCAGGTGAAGGAGCCAGGGTTGTTGGTGCAGGTTGCATTCCAGTGGCAGATGCCTGGTGTGGTGCATTCGTTATTATCAGTGCACTGAAACCCATTTCCACTGAAGCCAGGCTTGCACTGGCAATCTCGCCCACCCTCTCTGTTGGTGCAAATTGCATCAACGTGGCAGCCACCATTCCCTGTTTGGCACTCGTTAATGTCCACACACTGGAAGCCATCACCAGAGTAGCCACCCAGGCACACACAGCTGTAGCTGCCTGGAGTATTTTCACAGTGTGCTCTAATGTGACACGTGTGAATACCAGCGCTACACTCATCAATGTCTTTACAATGGATTCCATCTCCACTGTACCCACTAAGGCAAATGCAGGTGAAGTTGTTGCGCACTTTGATGCACTCTGCATGCGTATCGCATATCTTCCCTATGTTTTTACAGTCCTTGATGTCCGCACCTGTGAGTAAGAGAATACAGTGCAGATGCTTGAAAAGATGAAAGTAGAAAAATATCTTCTAAGTAATGTTTGATTAGGGATGTGACAAACCTGCACTGGTGTAAATGAGCAAAGCACACAGATACAGCAGTGAAGTCCTGCAAGACAGAAGAGACAAAGACAGTATGTCATCTTGTCAGCATATGAAACACCAGCGAGTTATAGCTTACGCGAAAGGTTCCGAATATCCGATACTACAGGGTCCTGTTCCTCCTGAGCTACACATTTACTGTGTTCCTTGATGTTCTAAACCTATAAAGTGCTTGTTAGTTAGCAGATTAGGGGGCTCGGGTGTTTTAAGAGGAGGAAAAAACACTAGTACTGTAGTTTTCGAATTAAATATCCAGATACAATTCTTTTACTGCACATGTATGTGACAGTGAAGAGAGTCCACAAGGCAGGTGTAACTGAAGTCAGCACAGATATGAATAGGAAAACTGATAACAATAATCTGAGATTTCTGTTTCAGTTACATGCTGAATATTGTCCCACCCTGTGGGCCTGAAACAGGCTTTGTCTAGCAGTAGATTGAGAAGAAGATAGAAATCTGCTCTCTTGTACTCCAGAGTCACACTGTGTAAAGACAGTTTAAGTCAATTAGCCATTTTGTGCAACTGCTGCTTATTTATTACGTTCATTCTGTATCATGATAAATACACCTGTGTCCAACAATTTAAAGTATAGTTGAGAATTCCTTATAATTAATTAATTTAAAAAAACAAATGGAGAATTATTCTATTTTGTGGTGTATTTTAGAATCTATTATTATTATTATCATTATTATCATTATTATTATTATTATTATTATCATTATTATTGTTGTTGTTGTTTCAATTTTAGGTTATATCTTAGCATATTTTAGCAGAAATGTATTTTATAACATTATATTACATTTTGCTATTCAACTATACTACTTAATCTACTATGTTATACATAGCATAATAATGTTTGTTCTGACATTTGGTGAGGCTTTGGGGTTAGGGTCACTCTCTGGTTGGCCAAATCAAACGTCCTAATGGGCCAACTTTGGGCAGCCTTGGTCTATACAATCTGTATACAAGTCAGAGGTCAAGTACCAGTAAAACACGCAATTACAGATTTGATTTTACGCAGTAATGCTGCGTAAGTGCCTAGTAATGAATATAGATAACAATAGATAATAGATATTACATAACAAAAAGTGTTTTAATTCAAGAAATCCATACAACTGATAGACTGATAATTTAACTGAATTAATATTTAGATTAATGATCAAATAAATATAATGTATGCAAAAACACTCTAAAGTTAGGCTCACCCTGTCTGATAAATCACACTCTGTATCCCAAATCTAAGTAGTTTAAAACAAAGATTCTATCAACAGGCTAATATATAAATCAGTACTTACTGCATATCTCACAGTTAGATTGAAGACTACCGGACCGGCATTGAGGAGGGCAGCACTCGTCGGCTGCTCCGGATGTCTGTGCTCTTCTCTCATTCTTTTTCTTTCTCTCTCTCTCTCTCTCGCTCTCTCGCTCTCTCGCTCTCTCTCTTTCTGTCTCTTTCTGTCTCCTGAGACTGAACATAATGGCCAGGCCAGTACAAGAAGGAAACACCCATATTTCCTTATGGTATGGCTTATTGCAAACCAACTTCCTTTGGCATCTCACTTGTCCTTTCCCACAAAACGTAACAACAATGAAGAGTCATATTTCATTGTTAAGGCATCTTATTGAAGCTTATTGAAGTACCCACAGACACACTCTTACTTGCATTTTAAACATAACTTCAGAAATCACACATCTGCCACCAGATGTTTAACCTGCTAGAGACGTGGCTTAGCTGAGAGTTAAGGCAACTACAATTAAAGCTCATATTCAGCTCAGATATTTTAATATTTGACACTGAGCCCAGTACTTTCCACCACTGCCTTAATTTCCAAGCTAAATGAAGTTTTAACTGATGCAGTTATGCATTCATTTCTACCAGGTAACTTTTCATTTGATGTTTTAAGAGACATACAAGTACTTACATATATATATATATATATATATATATATATATATATACACACACATATATGTACATGGACAAAAGTATTGGGACACACCTCTTAATCAGTGAATTCAGGTGTTTCATTCAGTCCCATTGCCACAGGTGTATAAAATCAAGTACCTAGCCATGCAGTCTGCCTTTACTAACATTAGTGAAAGAATTGGTGGTTCTAAAGAGCTCACTGAGTTCGAGTGTGGTACTGTAACAGGATATCACCAGTGCAACAAGTCAGTTTGTGAGATTTCTTCTTTCCTAGATATTCCACAATCAACTGTAAATGGTATTACTGGAAAGTGGAAGTGTTTAGGAAGCACAGCAACTCAGCCACGAAGTGTCAGACCACGTAAAGTCACAGAGCAGGTCACCGAGTGCTGAGGTGCATAGTGTGTAAAAGTCACCAACGCTCTGCTGATCAATAACTGCAGAGTTCAACCTCCTCTGGCATTAACACCAGCACAAACACTGTGCGCTGGGAGCTTTGTGGCTTAGTTCAAGTCAAGGGAAATCTTAATGCTTCAGCATAAGAAGACATTTTGGACAATTGTATGCTTCCAGCTTTGTGGGAACAGTTTGGGGAAGACCCTTTGCTGTTCCAGCATGACTGTGTCCCAGTGCACAAAGCAAGGTCCATAAAGACGTGGCTGGGTGAGTTTGGTGTGGAAGAACTTGACTGGCCCACACAGAGCCCTGACCTCAATGTGAGCCAGGCCCTCTCGTCCAACATCAGTGTCTGACCTCACAAATACTCTTCTGGATGAATGGGCAAAAATTCCCACAGACACACTGCAAAATTACAATTACATGGCCAAAGTTTTAAAACACTCTGTAACCTAAGAATAGCTCAACCAGTTTGCATTGAAGTACCTGAAGTATACCTAAATATTAAGTCTTAGTAAGTAATAAGTCTGGGATTTTAAAGCATTAATAATATTTATTTTATCAAAATGAAAGATGGAGCATTCCATTTTGTCACTAGTAAAACAATCTTAACAATTTTAGCTCTTTTTAAGCATAACACAAAACCACTAGCCAGTAGTAGATGTTCTTATTGTTATTGATGGCTTTACAATTTTTACTTGTTTTGTTTTGCTGCTCTATTATTATATTCGCATAATTGCTATGATTTTTACAGATGTTAATGTTTTGTTTTCATTTTTCTTGGCCCAGTTACTTTGTAAATGAAGATTCTTGTATGTCATATGTAAATAAATGTTTGAAGCAGTGGTGTAGAAGCTATGTGATAAGCATGTATACCCACTAGGAAACCTCTACACCTCTATAAACCTCTTTAAAAATTACCAGCCTGCCTTTAAATTTTGAGTTAAGAGCAACAGATTCTTGTTCTGTTAACTTACTATTAGAACTTATGAAACTAACTAAAGGTCAATTTATAAAAGTTAACAAATTTTTTAAGGTAGTCTGGTAACTGTTTTAGTTAAAACACTACATTTTTTAAACAGTGTAGTATCTATGTATACTCACTTAAAATGCTGAATTTTTAGGTACAAACTCAATAAAAAAATGTAGACATGAATTTATACATCTGTATTTGAACAAAAACAGTACAAAGACAAGATGTAATGTTTTGCTTTATCAAATTCATTATTTTTGGCAAATACATACTCAATCTGAAATAGATGCCTGTAGCAAAGTCCAAAAAGTTTGAACAGGGGCAATTTAAGGTCAGGAACATTGTGAAACATCTTAAACAAGCGATGAAACCATGCTTAGGTATAAAAGAGTGTCCAAGAAAAGGCCTCATCCTTTCTGAGCAAGGCTGGGCTGAGACTCACCACTTCACCAAAAATGCATCAGCAAAAATCCAACAGTTTAAGAATAATGTTATGTTTATGTTATTAATGGTATCCCAAGCATAGTCACAGTTGCTAGGCTATGTAAAACCAGTTTGCTACAGCGCCACCCTGAGGCAGACCAGTGCTGCATCACTAGTCAGTTAAGAATGCCAAAGATAAACGTTTGTGGGTGAAACAGTCTAAAATATGACCTACCCTGAATTTGTATTTGAGCATCTATTTTTCCCTAAGAAAGCAGAACATAATTGGTTTACTTTCAGGGACCCCCAGAATTCTGATTTTGAGACATTCACAGGGTCCAAAAGGTTATTAGGAGGTCCTGGACCCCCAGGATCCCATGTGTTTCGAACCTTGGTTGCAGGCATCCTTTTTAGAATGAGCATATATTTACAAAAGCATTGAAGTTCATAGGATAAAGCATTAAATACAGTGTTTTTGTACTATTGGTGTTCAGGCTTCCCAGTTTCTCCAGACTGGAGCCATAAAAACTAACAGAATGGGAAACATGCATGCAGCTATTAGAGTCCTGATTTTAGTCTTATCTAAACCATTTATTCATTACTGCACCAAACAGCCAATTTAATATAATGGAGTAGTTTCACTTGATGTCACTACTTTACACAAAGAAGAATATGTGAATCAAGTTAACCTAACTAATTCAAAAGCAAGCAGAACTTGAAAAAAAGAGTACTGTCACCTTAACAGAAACCATTTATAATTACTGTACTTTCTGAGTTTCTGTAGAAGTGTGGATCACTGAAAATTAGAAGGTAACTATAACTTACACATAAATCGTTTGAGGCTTGAACCTGTTAAGTAAGTTCGAGGCAAGAAGTTTGCATGATTTTTTACATTAGTGAAGTCAACTAATTTAAGTTAGAAATTTTTTGGAATTGGGTTTCTGTTTGTTGCTATTATTGCATGTAAAATTTGTGAAAGGAAAGTTTAAAATTAAGACTGAAACCCAAAGTTGAACAGCCATGTAAATAAAGGTCACCCTCTTTGTCGTGTTAGCTGATAAACTGAAAACAAAGCCTTAATAAAATGTTCTAAACATGATTGTGGACATCCATCCATCCATCATCTAAACCGCTTATCCTTCTGGGTCGCGGTGGGGTGCTGGAGCCTATCCCAGCTGTCATTGGGCGGAAGGCAGGATACACCCTGGACAGGTCGCCAGTCCATCGCAGGGCAGACAGACAGACATACACATTCACACCTAGGGGCAATTTAGCGTGTCCAATCGGCCTGACTGCATGTCTTTGGACTGTGGGAGGAAACCGGAGTACCCGGAGGAAACCCACACAGACACGGGGAGAACATGCAAACTCCACACAGACACGACCCCGGTCGGGAATCGAACCCAGGCCATTCTTGCTGTGAGGCGACAGCGCTACCCACTGCGCCACCGTGCCGCCCCTGATTGTGGACAAACTCCCCTAAATACAAATGATGGTCCAGTCGTAACCTCTGACATTCTTTCATATGTTTATAATATGCTGCAATGTTAACATTGCTTCTGCCAAGTCAGATGCTTGATATCCAAGAATTCACAGTGAGGGAGGGACTTTTTACACATTTCCTAAAGCAAAGACACAAGTGGAGAGGTGGAGGATCAATTACACATCGCACAACACATGTAACATCTGCTCCAAGGTATGACGCCAAGTCTGGCTAGATAACAAAGTCTTTCTTAGTTGTGGTTACTTTGCTGAATTCAGTGAGTACTGACTTCAACTGAGCTTTAGGGCAAAATTCAGAAAGATGAGAGCCTGATCACTTTTTATTAGACAGCTTGGCTAACACTGCAAGTATTTAACAAAACCCAATATAGCATACAGGGTGAATGTTATCCTTAAAATGCATATAATTACATGTTTACCTAGTTTGCAGTACCGGAACTTTGCTTTTATCTTTTATTTCCATATGACTCACTATGTGATGGGGTTTTAAACTTCAAATGCATACTGGAGACTTTTTAGTCTATTCTGAAATGATGTATTTCTACCAAATTTAATGAGAATGTCATGGGATAAATAGTCCGTCTTTGGAAGTGAAAAGTGGAGGGTGGAAAGTGTGTGAGACACAGCAACAGTAACCAAGGGGGTGGGGCTTAACAAAGGGTTAAAAAAAAGCACATACCTGTTATATCACAGTTGTGCAGTAAAACACCAAATGTGAAGATGTCATTGAATGTGCAGCAGAAGGTGCGTATCACCCACACGCTTGAGGACACTGAGAGTGTGTGGGTGCTGTTTCTGCTGTGGCCGCGCTTACAGGTGCATGCAGAGGAACCCACTGAGTTAAAAAGTGTTCCACTTCTGGGTTTCCACCCAAAAACAATTCATTATAAATTATAAAGCAATTATAAAAATCGAATGATGCGTCTAATGCTACATTACATCTCTTAAACAACTACGTTCTTAGATATTATCATAGATTTTCTGCAACTCATAGTATATAGACCTTATCTTCCAATTGTTCTACACCATAGATCAATGTTTTAGTTTTAGTTTATTTACTAGTGAACACTGAAGTTCAGATTTAGCTTTTGAGTTTTTTAAACCAGCCATTGAGTTTTCATATAGATTCTTTTTAGTTATGGTTTGCATTCA